ATGAGATCCAACGATGCTGAAATACATGGAATGGTCCAATTTAATAACATTTTAAAAATTAGATTCGAAAATATATTTTATTTTGAATAAAAGAAGGAATTTTCATATTTAACAAATCAGTCATTTATTGAAATTGATCATTTTATATGAATATTCAGGTGTGTGGTTTCAGAAGAATGTTAGTAATAGTTATAATCGCTTATAATATAGCTTTTTTTAAATTTAAATGGTTATATTTGTATTGAATCAAATCGGTTTTGGTGATTCCATGGAAGTTTGCTGATTTTTTCAAACAGTTTTTCAGCAAATTTATTTTGTTCGCTGAAGGCTGCTTGATTTAACCTTCAATTAATATGAAAGTTTGAGCTTCAATATCGACAAGAATGTTGGAAATATTTTAGAAATGGATGTAATTATTCAATGGTTGATTTTGGTGTGGATTGTGTTCAAATGTGTCTTCAGACTACCTTTGAGTGTAAAACGCATCATACAAATCTCGCATCGAAAGGGTTTTTCACCGTTATGCTTTCGCATATGCATCTTCAACAAAGCTGTACTAACAGTGACAAACTTCTTGCATATATGACATTCATATCGACGATTTTTGCACACTTTTTCATGGACTTCATGGTCGATCTTCTGGGAAAATCCACTGTAACAACCTCGGCAATGAAACGGGATTTCGTTGGTGTGAGTCACTTTGTGCTTCTTCATGTTTTGCAGAATTGTGAATCCTTTGCGGCAAATTTCACATTGATAAGGCTTCTCGCCTGTGTGGGTACGCGTGTGTCTTTTGAGGTCCCCCTTGAGATTGCTGGAATATTCACAAAATTGGCACTTGTGTCGTTTCTTCATATCCAATTGTTTTGATGATTCTTTATTCGCCAATGATGTTGAATTCAAGGACGATTCAGCATCTTTTCTTTGACAATCAATCAATCTTCCTTTATTTTTGAAGCTTTTTGCACCATCCATGATATTTCGTCCATTTTGCAATGTGCCAGTGGATGCTTGTTCATTCGTTGTTTGATAGTTCAGATCACGTGAGTTTGTGTTCGGCGCATAAGTTTGAAAAAAATCGTTCCATTCCGATGTTTCATCATTATCATCGCACTGGTTGCCAAATGCAGCTACCGACGATTCCGTCTTAATTTGATCTTCTTCATCACTTGAGTCATCGATATCGATTAAATCAAACTTTGGAATTGACTCATTGCTTTTCAGTTGGTCACCATCTGTGAAATCGAACAACTGTGTTCTAGTGGCAGTGCAATTGAACCATTTTTCTTCAAGCTGTAAATTGATCACGAAGTGACGATAGGTCGCTTCCAATCTATGTAGCATAAGAACGTTTAAATAAATTCAAATTTCTCACTTGCAGTACTTGGGAAATTGAAAGAGAATGATATTATGCGTACCGTTCTTTTGACGTTTCCAAAAAGTAATGCTGAAAATCCTGATCAAATGAGAGACCGGCTCGCTTGAATGCCAAATTTATTTGCGTCAAAGTATGGATGGCTTGACGATCGAACGCAATGAACATTTGGTTCATTTCATTTCTCCAATCCATTGTATTCATCTAATTTCAAGAAAAAGAAAGAAAATGAAGTCTCAAATGATCAAATAAATTATATTTAAATTTGCTTATTCCCATTGTGCTTGACACGAATAGAATATTCGCTAGAATTGGAATTTGGCCAAGGGCCAATGTGGTAGAACAAATTATCTTTAACAATCATTCAAGATTTGTATGGGACGCTATACTGTTTTTTGAACAACCGAATTTTCTACTTTCCCGCACACCTAGCTAATGGTTTCAACTTCAACAACGCACAAACACGCCATGAACCATTATGCACGCCATGAACCAATCTCATAGACGTCTCCTTAATGCAATTTAGTAGAAAATACTGGGCAATGCCAATGTAAATCTTACCTTTATGAAGTCTGGATTCGTCTGGATAAGTATGATTATACTTTATGGTCTTGATGGTAATTTTATTAATTAATGAAGGTAGAATATGTGGAACACTCTATATACGTCTTGTGTGTGCTTTGCGCAAACGAAAGGGAATGATAGTGGCGATGGAACACTGATTGACTAGCTGTCAAAATAAATTTCGCCAACTTCGCCACTTTTCCATTGCTTTTTGTCGAATGCAGTTCGCCACCTTTAGTTTTGTTTGGTTAGTAACGCTGGAAATTGCTTGAGATTACATATTGATCTCGTCCCATAAATGATAAAACGATATTTTGAAATTCAATTTTATTTAAGCATTTTAAAGAAAACATTAACCTATTGCTTTTTCAAAGAATAGCCCAATTGCTGAAGGCATATAACATGATAATATATAACCTTATTTGATGTTGAAAATGTTGTCTAATGTGGCTCGTATAATGTTCGGTAGCAATAGTTGAACAAAACTGTTTGAATGGTTGAATTTATGGGTTGATCGAATTGTGAATGTTGTCCAAATGTCTCTTCATATTAATTTTTTGCGTGAAAGACTTCATACAAATCTCGCATCGATACGGTTTTTCACCGTTGTGCTTTCGCATATGCTGCTTCAACTGAGTTCTACCCACAGTGACAAACTTTTTGCAGATATGACATTCATACCGACGCAATTTGCACACTTTTTCATGGGCTTCTTGATTGTCCTTCTGCAGAAATCCCTTAAGACAACCTCGACAGTGGAATTGAAATTCATTGATGTGAGATACTTTATGCCTCTTCAGGTTCTGCATACTGGTGAATTCTTTGCGGCAACTATCACATCGATATAGTTTTTCACCGGTGTGAGTACGCATGTGACGAGCAAGATTGTTGTGCTTAGTGGCATAATCACAAAGTTGGCACTTGTATCGCTTCTCTAAATCCGTCTGGTTTCTTGTGCCTGTATTGCGATTTACACGACCGACAATCAACGGGACACCATCGTTCACTGCCACTTCTTTGACTTTCGTCGCGTTTTCAGTTTCTTCTTTGCTTTTCCAAATATCTTTCTTGTAACCAATGCTATGTGACTTCGTCCCATGCAATTTTGCGATTGCAGCTTCTGTCGTGGCACTTTCGATGTAACTTCCATCCTCTTCGTTTTGAAAATCGTCGCGGTTATTATCGTACGGACTGTCAAATGTTGTTTCCGATGATTCCAATTTCAGCTGACTTATCGCCGGATCTTCTTCATCACTAGAGTCAATGATTTCGAAGGGACTAGTAAACCGGTTTCGAAAATCGTCGATGTCTTGGTTCTTGGTATCAATTGATCGCATCGTCCACGAGATATCGCCTGATGGAATGTTCCCATCTGTTACAATGCTCGCCTGGTCCACAAAATTTGAATAAAATTCGAATTCATCATACGAACTCTTGATCCTGCACAAAATTAACAATAATTAGTCGTCATATGGTTTAAATTCTAATATCACAACTCACCGATCATTTGTGACCCGCAAAAAATATTGCCCGAAATCAGCATTGAGCGATAGACCATCGCATTTGAGTGCCAGTTTGATTTTGGTCAAGGAATGTTTTACTTGGCGATTTATCACACCAAGCATATTATCCATTTCGTCGCTCCAGCTCAACATTTTCGAATCTACAGTGGAAACGGAACCGAAAAACAGATAGAATTAATTTTCGAGCAGTGAAATAGAGGGGATTGGGTTTATTAGACATCGACTCGAACTGTCTAGATTGCTGTTAAGAAAGAGAAGGTCAATGCGTTCACCACAATCTCGGGAACAAATGTCCAACTAGCTCGAGTCAAAATCTTTGGATTTGATAGAGTGAATTTTCTGGAAGTTATTTCCATTGAGGTTTTTAGTCTTTTTGTTCGTAAAATTCAATAAACGATCCTGGTAGAATGAAAAAAATATTGTTCTTACCTAACTCTCGTTTTGATCAATAAATTCCGATTAAGTCCAAGAAAATGAAATGGTTTTATGCGAATAGTGGTATGTTTGTAGTGAATTTAAGACAACAAAGTATTATTTCGATTAAAATATAAGTTTATTTCTATACATTTGATGCTTCCAGATTAAAACGTGTTGAAGACCCGTTGTACAACAAACGGAATAGAAGGAATGGCGCAATACAAACTAACAATGACAGCGACAGCAAGCTGTCATGAATTCGCTGCATTCATGCTGTAGATAGAATGATGCTATTAGCGGCGACCGACTGGAGGACTTTGACCTTTAAGCGAGTTTAATGACAATTGAATAGATTCAAAAAAATATAGTTGATTTTTAACCATTAATTGATTGCCCGAGAACGAAAGCGAAATTTCTATTCACAACTTATTGAAATGTAACACCGCCATACAAAATATGCTGACAGTCAGCACTTTTTGTATGGTGGTGTTACATTTCAATAAGTTGTGAATAGAAGTTTCGCTTTCGTTCTCGGACATTCAATTGAATAAAAGATTTCATTTATTTTCTTATTAAATAAATTCGTCTAAATTTATTGAAATTGATAATTTTACATGAAACATTCAGGTGGATAGTTTCAGAGGAGAAGTTCAATAACCTTAGATAATATGAATGCGTTGAAATAGGGTTAATCAAAATAATTATTAAAATTGAAAATATTTTGGATTCATTCAGTAGTTCGGATTAAACAATATTTGAAAAAAGTGAAATGGCTTAATATATCAACATTCAACAAAAATCATAATTTCAATGTATGGTATGCGTTGAATTTAATGGTGCATTTACTAGAAGCTAGCAGACTTTTTTTTGTCTTATTTAATACATTCTCTTTAAGTGCTAATTATCATGATACTTGAGATTAATGTTTCGAAAAGAATGCCAATTGCCAAATGGCACAAGCAAATGTTGGGAATATTTTAAAGGTAGTTGTAATTATTCAATGATTGATTCTGGTGTGGATAGTATCCAAATGTACTTTCAGGCTAGATTTTGCCGTAAAACGCATCATACAAATCTCGCATCGGAACGGTTTTTCACCGTTATGCTTTCGCATATGCATTTTCAAGTTGGTTTTACCCGCAGTGACAAACTTCTTGCATATATGGCATTCATATCGACGATATTTGCACACTTTTTCATGGACTTTGTGGTCGGTCTTCTGGGAAAATCCACTGAAACAACCTCGGCAATGGAA